GACAGGGAAGGAGACAGCGACCTTGAGGTAGGCTGACCTTTTTAGTAAATTATGCCTACTTTCTTACTTATCTGTAGCTGTTGCCTTATTTCCTACCGGCCCCCTCTTGGTGTTGTTAGGCCCAGAGAGAGCACCAAGATCATGACTTAAGTTCATGAACTGTGACGAATATTTCTTTAGAAAACAATATCAAGCTCCGCTTTATACCATTTTTGTACTTTTTTGGCCTTTTTTTTAACAGAGGCCTACTTGTGTATGTAACACCACTTGTGCCAGGAGGTCTGGGAAACGCCGTGGATGTCCGTGTAAAGATTCGAATTTGGCATGCACTGACGCATGTGCTTGTGGGAGGAAGAAACGTGGAACAGTCATAGAGTGGTGCTCCAATGGCAAAGTAAACAGCATACATTTATTCACATTCAATTAAAATAAATTAAGTCATAGACATAAGACTGGGGGCAGACATAATACGTGCCCTGCACACACTTTTCGAAAATTCAAGTAAAATTCCCCTTTGTTGCTAACATATTTCCCTTTTTGCCAACTAAATAACAAAAATATCTTGAAGTAACCATGTTTTATATAAAATGGACAAAGTGAGCAGTGGGTGGGTAACCTTTTGGAGTCATGATCTGAAATTTTTACAGGCTGTAATGAATTGTAAGTAATGAATTCGTTTTAAGAATGATGCAATCAGTATAGTACAACATCAATAATTGCAAGAAATGACTTTTAAGAAATATTCTGAAATGTATTTTAAGCTAATATAAAGGGCTTGTTTGAAAAACTTTCTTGTTATTCCATTTAGCCCCAGGGCCTCTGAAACTGTTTGGCAGGACTGCTCACAACTAGGTCAGAAACATCACTAATCACATCTAAATCATCTATGTCCTAAAACAGCCCTTTTAAACCTCTCTGACTTTTTTAAAAAATGTTTTAGGGTGCCCCTTAAACATGTACCTCTCCATTTTTTATAATCCTTCCTATAATCTCAACCTAGGCCCTAAACATTTGACCTCTGCAGTGCCTATTTAGGATTTGCAGAAAGACCATTTTCTGTCACATGTCAAACTTTTCACTTTGGAATCTTCCATCTGGAAATACAATATTATAAATTATGTCCAAATCTGTTGAATATTTTCATTTCAGCCAGGATCTGTTGACCAAATTGAGCAGGCAGCTGTAGTACAAGATGGGCATATAAAGATGGAACAAGAAATAATTCAAGCAAAACAAAGAGTCCAGGTATTGTTTTCTCCGCTATTATTCAACCCATTGAGGGAACTCCTCCTTAAGAAATTCCACTCCAAACATATTTAGTGTTACTGTATTAATTTGTGCTAACCTTGTTGTTACAATTTTATTAAATGTCGTTTATTTAATAAATTTTTGTATGTTGTAGAATTTTGAAAATGAAAACTGAACTAAAATTAAAACAAAACTTTACTGAAATTATCAATGACAAGAGTAACTTTCATTTTTCAGAACGTAATAAATGACCTTCCAATTGAGACACTGCACAATTTGATAGTAGAGCTTGCTGTGACTGGAGAAGGGAGCTTTGAATTTGTGCAGGATTTGGTGCCTGTGATTCAAAGTCCAAATCCCGAAGCTAACAGACCAATGGCCTTACCCTGGTGTAAATGTGGTGTGTGCACTGAAATGGGAAAGGAAGAAGAAAACAAATGTTGCAAAGTAACAATATGTGTCACCTCATATTATATGTTTAAGAAGCTGTGTCTGGACAGGGATGTTCTTAAGCTGAACATAACTGCAAGATGTGATCTTAGGGCAGATCATATGACATTTACAATGAATTCATTTAGAAAGGCTGCCTATAGACAGTTTGCCCTCTGGATTATGGTCGCTTGGGAAGTGGAAATCGGCGAATTTTACCAGCCTGTGTTGTTACTGTAATCCGTAACATGTATCCATCACCAACTGATGAATATATGGGGTTTAAAGCACACTAAATGAGAAATTGTTTAGCTTTAAATTAAGAAAAAATTACTGATACGGTTTCTAATTGGCAGTAAGATTCTGCTTATCTGTATCAGGATAAAAAAATTGTTGATCATATATACAAAAGATATGAAGTTCAATAATGTCATTTTTTCTTTTCAATCCTTGTTAATTTTTCTGCAACTAATTGGCTTGTAGGTGGTGGCTTGGTTACTAAGTCTAAAGTTGGGGATATCAGTTTGGGGTCATTTGGAACTCTGACAAGCCTTTCCATTGCTGTGTCTTTCTTTTCTTTTGTTTCAACAACAATTTTTGCAAGACAGTATGGAATATAGCTGTAGCTTTTCTGTTCCTTGACAGGTTCAGCAGTAAATTTCCTGGAATTTTTATTGTATTTTCTTTTAAAACACTGTTTACCATCTTGTGTAATAGCTAAAGGTCGATTTAAATGTATATTATGGTCAATAGCAGCCAAAGCCATCCGTGTCTTGAAATATGGATAGTCATATGCATTTCTTTTAGATGCATACTTCATCAGCATACTGTTAAAATTTTCTATCATGCCTGTATGCCTGAATTTTGAATAGTATGATAGGTTTGACAAAAGCTTTCTGTCAAGTACCACTGATCTGAGCTTTTCCAAAGCAACAGAATTCTTTAAGAGGTACACCTTTGGCTCAGTTGACGAGAGAGGGCCATGCAGACATTCAGATTCCGCCCATATGTGTTCATTGCATACATGATGCAAAACACCAATCCAAATATCTTTCAGCTTTTCAGCATCACCATTTGAAACCTGACAAGCAAACCAAAAGTGGTTGACTATTGCAGCAATCCATGGTTTGAGTGATCTTGCAGCTTTGTCTTGTGCTGTTTTGTGCAATTTCTTAGAAATATTTTTGGCATTGAAATGAAAAGATTAATTATGAATTCTTAAGTCCAAAATGCACATGGCAAGTGAGCATTCAATTGTTAATATAGAAAGAGTAAAAATATTAACAATTGCAATAACAAACTATGGAGAAAACCGGCTGATACAGCAGAAGGAATATCATAGATCTGGATATTAGCTTAAACTTTTGTATCAACCAAAAAACACGTGAAAGGCTTTCTTTGATGGTTCATTGGCAAAAACTATGAGTTTTTTCAAATATAATGTATCTACTTAAATCAGTTGAACCTGCCCCAAAACTAAAACCTGAATGGGTAAAAAATATTGCATAACATTATTAGATAACATGGGAAAATATAAGCATGTACTTTTAAGCTCTTGAATCCTCTTCATTATTGAAGTTGAGGCATCAGTGGTAATCTCTGAAATATCCAAGCATTTCATAAGAAGCAGCAATGTACGGGTGAGACCTTCTCTTTCCATATTTGTTGATATGCCACCAGTCTCTCTTGTCCAAAACTTCTAAATGGAGAACTGCATTGGTTATCAACTCCATGGTGACATATACACAAAATCGTGCACAGAAGCCAGGTGAATCATTCCTTCCATCTCCTCCAAGAATGTGATCATTATATGTTTTTATCACAGTAATGATGCTTGATTTCATTGAGTCCTACATTTGTAGAATTACAGGTGTGAAAAACAATCTCTGATTTCTGTAAAAGACAGATTGATCTGGGATTGCAAGCCCAAGAAACTTACAAAACCTTGCAAATTTTGAGTAATTGTTTCCAGACGATAATACGCAGGCAGTGACCAACAGGTCATTCAAGTAAACGCCTGCATAGTGAGATTTTGAAACTATCTCAGAGGAAACCCACATTCCAAAGTGCTCATTTTTGCATGACCAGCGAAGTTTTACTGTACAGCCTTTCACATCACTTTCAAAATTCAAAACTTCATTGCATAGTCGACCATTGTTCAGTTTTTGCATGCAAAACTTCCCTTTCAACTCTTGTAGCTTCTTAAGTGACACTAAAACTCTATTTTGGTTTCCATGCTTATATTCTGCATCTCCAATATTTGTTTGATACAGATCTTCCATTGTTTTGTGTACTTTTGCTTTCATTTCTTTTGAATTCACCTCTGATGATGCATATATTGCACCAGGTTGTCTATCATAGTGGTCTCCAGTTCCATCGACTTTTCACATTGCTCATTTTCAACAAAGTATGTTCTAGTCAAATCTAGATCTGTCACTAAAGAAACAAGGTTGGCTCTGGAATCTTCTTTGGCATTTTCAGTCATATGCATTGATATTCCATCAATTTGATCTTGTGTCAAGCCATCATCATCCGAGCTTGACAAAGAATCATAAACATCATCATCATCATCATCATCATCATCATCATCATCATCATCATCATCATCATCATCATCATCATCATCATCATCATCATCATCATCAGTGCTTATATATGCGCTACTTGAATCTGAGACATCAGAATCAATGTCTGACTCAGAATTGTAGCTTTCTTCTACAAAGGGGTTCCCAGAAATTTGCCCTAGTTGTTTGTTCATGCTGATATGCCTCATACTGTTGATATCTGAGTTAACAGTGCTGCCAAAAATTGTTTCAGATGCTTCTGATCCTTCTGATTCCTGCTCTTGTTCTACTTCAATTACACTAAATTCCAATTTTTGTCTCTTTTTATTTTTGTAGGCAACTGGTGTTGATTCTTTTTGTGTTTCTGCAACAAAATAAACATGAATATATAATAAATGCATACTATTTGAAAGGTTCTGAATACCAGGGGTTGGTTTTTCACCTAATATAAAAAATGTTGGAAATATAGAAAACATCAAAAAACTAAAATAGGGTTTGCAATGGTATTAAAACCAACACTTCCTAAGATCATTATTTATGATCAAAACATGGAATTCAGCATGTCTGAGTTTTGAACCTTTCATCAAAATTCCTTTCCTTTCATGAGTTTTAATTTCTTTTATTCCCTACCTCACTAGGTCAATAACACTTGTATACTAAGTTTACTAATCAAGATGATATCCTTGTCCAGAGATGTGGACCCTGCAGTCTTGTAGATATTTTCATATCTTCTGCCAACTGAACATAAAGTTATAGTTTTAAAATGAGAAAATAAAATTGACAAAATGCTCACCAATGCAGACAGCTGCTGTACATGATGGTTGAGAAGTGACAGGAAGTTCAGCAGATGGCAAACATGTTGTAACACTTGCATTGGATGATGCACCAAGATTGTTTTGGCTAGAAAATGTACAAAATGTGTCTTAGTTGATCCATTACATTGCGGTTTTAAATAATAGCAAAACATTAACTCATCAATCAGGTAAAACTGCAACTACTTTCAAAAAACCTCTTTCAAATAGATAACTATAGGGACCTAATACTAATGCCAATACTAACAATGCCCTCGAAAAATAAGCCATTGCCCTGTGCGACGGTCTCTTGACTAGGTTCAGATCCCCTCTTGTTTGTTTATCTCGGGGACAGTTTTGAAAAAGGTAACATGACAGGTAAAAGTAAGACAGTTAAAAATTCTTCCTTCTCGTATTATAAACCTTTATCTCTAAATATGGCAAATAAGGCAGTTCTGTGAGATGGGGAGGTATGTCAAAACGTACTTACCTGCTTTTCTGACCCTCTTTTGGCCTCATAATTCCCTGGTCGAAATAATTATGCTCCTGTACAATTCGCAAATTCGTTATTGGTCATCACAGGGTCATCGCCAGATACTTCTTTCTTGTGTTCATTCCAAAGTTTCAGCGTAGATTCGAAAAGATATACATGTTTTCTGGCTTCTTGGCGCCGTGGCCGTCCTAAATTTCGCGTTGCCATGTTCAGACAAAAAAACAATTTCTGACACCCAGAAAGTCTGCGAAGAATTGCATCACGGGATGGAAACGAGCGCAAAGGACATATGTCAGCAAAGGCTCTTTAACGATCTGCTCATGTTTGTACCAGACATAGAAATATGCATCTATGCAGATGACACAACCCTCTATGCGAGCGACATTAACCCCTCACATGTAATTGAAAAATTAGAGGAAAATTCCTCAACAGTTGCAGAATGGTTTGAAGACAACTGTATGAAGTTAAATGGGGACAAATGCCACTTCATGACCTTTGGCGATCAAAGTAATGACTTAGCCATACAAATAGACAACAAACTAATCAACGAAAGCAGCGAGGAAAAACTACTTGGTGTAACTATTAACAAAAAACTCTCATTTAAGCCACACATAAAAACACTGTGTAAAAAGGCTAGTCAAAAATTGCACGCCCTCTCCCGCATTTCATGCTACTTAAGCACAGAACAACTCAAGCAAACAATGAGGGCATTTATTCTATCCCAATTTAGCTATTGCCCACTTGTATTAATGTTCTGTGACAAAAGCCTAAAAGCATTTGCTGTCGTGGGCAATATTCATACAAAAGAACAGCCACTACCATCTTAGAAACAGTAGATTAACGAAAATCCCAAAAACTCGAACCATCACTTCTGGGATCGAAAGCTTGTCCTATTTAGGATGCAAGCTATGGAACAATCTACCAGAAAACTTGAAAAACCTAAATACTCTTCATACCTTTAAAGTAAAGATCAAACAATGGAAGGATAATTGCAGCTGCAGGCTATGTAGAACCTTTGTAGCACAGGTCGGGGTTTGACATGAATTATCTAACATTAATATTTTCAACTATTTATCTAATTAAATCCTAGGTATTTTAATTTATTTCTTTAAATAGCTTTTATATCACTGTATAATATTATCATTTTTATTCCTGTGAATAGTAGGCGTTAATTAGCTTATCGTTTAGTTACTACTGTAAAGAACGCCTACTGTAAATAAATGAATTATTATTATTATTAGTTTTATATCATGGTTTCATTTTGTGAAGAGTCTGTCTTTATGCTGTAGTAGAATCTTCTCAACACATACCCACCAATGTATTGTATGCACTTGTTATCTCTGTCATTGATTTGTGGCACAGGTGGTGCATGTTGCTTTGAAACAGACTGAAACTCTGTCATTAATGATATGGACACAACAGCCTTGTGCGATCTCCTTTTATATGGCAGTTCACCATTGAATATAATTAGTAATAGAATGATCATGGATGCCACTATATCATACATTAAGAGTACTCAACGCTTTGAGTGAAACCCCAAACAGCAGCTACCCCCCCCCCCCTTTTAGTTTTGTTGTATATATTCTTTGTAAGGGATTGTTTATTGTAAGTGTCCCTCGTAGTGGGAACACGATGACATTGGGTCGTTTCCCGCAATGAGGGGCACAGTTGAATGTAAATATTAGAGTTGTAGTTGTTTTAAGTTGATAAATAAAAAAATAGCTCTGTCATTAACCTCTCACAAGCAATAATTTCAAGCGGGGGGGACCTTATTTTCTTTTAACAGTGGGAATAATTCGTTACTCTTGTTTACTACTTCGCTGTAATACTCTGCAAAATAGAGTCCCTTGCTCTTTTTATCAACCAGCCTTGACAGAACTTTCTTTCAGATATTACAAAATCATTCAGAAATAAAACCATCTTGAAGAGGATATCTCTCTTTACAGTAAACTTTAAATGAAGTATTGATTTCTGCAATTTCTTGACTGGCTTCTTCTTTAATGAATTTTAGCCTCGACAATGTAAGGGATAATTTCTTATGTTTGGAGGCCTTGTGTCGCAGCAAACCGCGGACTGCTTTTCCTTAATATTCAGTTCCACAATCTGAAGTTTCTTAATGAATGAAATTCATATAAATATGATTTTCAAATGCGACAATGTCAGGAAAATATGGAGAACTGAAGCCGAACGGGTGAGAGATACACACAAGGCCTAAATCCAAAGGTGAAAAACTTCGAAAAAATGAGTCGAAATGGTCACAAACGTTACAGTACATTGTCGCCTGCTGTATCCAAATTTTCTTGTACTTTAATTATGGCATCAAGCTTACAAATAAAATAAAAAACCTCATCGTCTCCTACAAATTGAACATCCAAGTCAGCTTCCGCCATTGTTTCTCGATTTCATCTTGGACGTTCTTTGGTCATGTGACCAAACTCTCTCGATTTTCAACATTTAATTCCATCACGGGGGCCCCTTAGTTATGATAAACAACACCCTAATCTCAGGAAAAACATTTTGGGCTTTTGGTGCATCAGCCCTTGTCTTGCCTGAGCAATGACGCAATTTTATGGTCGGTGTTTGATTCCAGGGAAAAAACTGCCTCAGTTTTTTACCCCGATAATCAGACTGATACACCTGTCACACAATCGAATGACTGTGTGAGAAGAAGTGAGACAGGAGAAGGCAGAAGGAAGTATATGACGGGATATAAGCAGGAGGAGAAGTGAGTACAAGGGGACAGGGATGGGAGGGGAAAACGCGTGCAAACAACGCGTCAGTCTTGCTGCAAAATATGACATGACCCTAGCTGCATCACTGTACTTAAAGAAATATGCCAGGAAAATACCACCTAGAAAATACCACAAGGTGATTAGCAAATAGCTTAGGTAACATGATATCCACAGCCTACTAAGGATATACGTGTGGGACCACCCGATTCTAGAAAAGGGGAATCTGCGCACTTTCCCCGCGGGTATTAACTCGAATTAAACGATTAATTCCCATTTAATTCCATCGCGGGGGCCCCTTAGTTATGATAAACAACACCCTAATCTCAGGAAAAACATTTTGGGCTTTTGGTGCATCAGCCCTTGTCTTGCCTGAGCAATGACGCAATTTTATGGTCGGTGTTTGATTCCAGGGAAAAAACTGCCTCAGTTTTTTACCCCGCCACAAGAAACATGATAATGTTTACACCCATCAAACACTGACTTAGAAAACCTGTAACTGGGGGAGACTCTTGCCCTAACCTTACTAAGGGAGGAAGTTATTGGTGAAGAGAAGCGGGGAGAGAAAGCAAGAGAAAAGTTTTTTTTTTCTTTATGTTTGCCAACAACAGCAAACGCTTTTTTTTTTTTTTATGTTTGCCCACGACAGCAAACGCTTTTCGTTGTATGTTTGCCAACAACAGCAAACGCTTTTTTTTGTATGTTTGCCCACGACAGCAAACGCTTTTCGTTGTATATTTGCCAACAACAGCAAACGCTTTTTTTTATATGTTTGCCCACGACAGCAAACGCTTTTCGTTGTATGTTTGCCAACATCAGCAAACGCATTTTTTTTTATATGTTTGCCCACGACAGCAAACGCTTTTCGTTGTATGTTTGCCAACAACAGCAAACGCTTTTTTTTCCCTATGTTTGCCCACGACAGCAAATGCTTTTAGTTGTTTGTTTGCCAACAACAGCAAACGCTTTTCTTTGCATGTTTGCCAACAACAGCAAACCCTTTTCTTCTGCATATTTGTCAACAACAGCAAACGCTTTTTTTTGCGTGTTTGCCAACAACAACAAACCCTTTTCTCCTGCATGTTTGCCAACAACAACAAACCCTTTTCTCCTGCATGTTTGCAAACAACAGCAAACGCTTTTTATTTCTCATGTTTGCCAACAGCAGCAAACGCTTTTTATTTTTCATGCTTGCCAACGACAGCAAACGTTTTGTTTTTTATTTTTTTTTTTATTTTGCATCTATGCCAACAACTGCAAACGCTTAATATTTTTTGTTTGTTTGTTTGAACTTATAAATTTGCATTCTGCCAACAACGGCGAATGTTTTGTTTTACTTACATGCTTCCCAACAGCTGAAAACGCTCAATGGTTTTTAATTTTTTTTTTTTTTTTTTTTTTTTCAACAGCAAACCCTTTTCTTCCGCATGTTTGCCAACAACAGCACAACGCTTTTCTTTGCCTGTTTGCCAACGACAGCAAAACGTTCTGCTTTATTTTTCATGCCTGCCAATGACAGCAAACGTTCTGTTTTATTTTTCATGCTTGCCAACGACAGCAAACGTTTTGTTTTTATTTTACATGTTTGCCATCAACTGCAAACACTAAGTATTTGTTTGTTTGTTTGAACCTATAAATTTGCATTCTGCCAACAACAGCAAATGTTTTCTTTTATTTACATGCTTCCCAACAACTGAAAACGCTTAATGGTTTTTCTTTTCTTTTATATATATATTCGCATGTTTGCCAAACAACAGCAAACGTTTTGTTTTGTTTTGCATGCTTGCCAACAACTGTAAACATTTGGTTTGTTTGTTTTTTGTTCACCTTGCCTGTTTGCCACCAAGAGTAAAGGCATAACTAGACGTGTTATGGCGACAACAGCAGACGCTTTTTTATGTATGTATACGTATGTATAGCCCTGGAAAACTATCTCCATATTTTATTTGAATATATAAACCATAACAAGAAAACATTTCGTATTTACTATGTGAATTTCCATAAACGCAGCACACTATCTCCATATTTCATGTGAATTTATGAACCATGGCAAGGAAGATTTTGCATTTGCCATTTGAGTTTGCATAAACACAGCAAACTGCCACTATATTTACCATTGCAGTTTGCATGACAGAACAATTGACATGTTTGCATTTAGCAAGAAACATCACCACAGTAAGCTATCTAGGTATTTACCGATTTATATTGCAAACATTGGTTCTGCAGATTCAGCTTATATGTTTTAGATTCTGCAGATTTGTTGCAAAGCCACAGTAAACTATTCTACATTTACCAAGCAAAGTGTGCCTAATGTTAGTAAATTCATTGTAAAATGTAAAATAGATTTGCATAACTACAGCAAATCAATTCTATATATATATATATATATATATATATATTGAGCAAGTTTAGTATTAACAATATAGCACGTTTTACATTGTTGAACCAAGAAGTTCGCTCTCGACAAAAAGGCTTGCCTAAAGTAGCAAAATACAGCTTGCTCAAACCAATCAAATTTGCACCAGAACAAAAGTGGGCACACAATGCATTCATAAATTGGCAATAACAACAAACATTTGATGCATTTGCCGATCATGATTGATGAAAACAGAGAGCAAAGTTGCCAGCGCATTTTTTCTAAATTGTTTAGCTCTGCTGCTATACAAATTACATCAAAATACCTGTATTACAATCAGTTTTTTTTGTTTGGTTGAAAATATAGCGTGTAGTTAGTTGGAAGTTTGTTGCCATGGTGACTAGTGACACTTATAATAATGTAATAAGATATCTTCAAAATGCAACAAAAGCTACTATTTCAGCATACGGAAAGTATACGGATTGAAAAGCAAAGTGCAGAGAAATGTCCACGTGTCTCAGATCCACTTTAAGTGTTCATGCACATTCTTGCAAAAATCCCTAACAAATCTTTTTAATTAGTGTAACCAAAAAGGACGTTCACCGAAACCGAAACCGAAGGGCATGGCCGCAGGAATTTTCTGAACGGGGTCTTGTTTTGTCAATA